ATGCTCTGCTACCTGAAGGATGACAGCCCTATGGCAGAAGCACTGAATGAACCCGTTAACAACATAGACTTTTATTACCCCATGGAACTTCTAGATGGAATGCCCACGACCCCTGCTGTATCAACCTCTTTGTCTCCAAGTGTATCTAGCACCACTCTGGTATCTGCAACTGCAACAACGATTCAAGAACCCACAACAACTCTGCCAACTTTCATATCCACAAGCCCTGAACCTTTAAACTCAACAACCAAACGACCAACAATGATCTCAACAAGCCCAGGACCATCAACGACCTCAGCGACTCCGGAACCTTCAACGACCTCAACGACTCTTGAACCTTTAACGACGTCAACGACTCCGGAACCTTCAACGACCTCAAAGACTCCGGAACCTTCAACGACCTCAACGACTCCTGAGCCTTCAACGACCTCAACAACTCCGGAGCTTTCAACGACCTCGACTCCGAAGCCTTCAACGACCTCAACGACTCCGGAGCCTTCAACGACCTCAACGACTTCGGAACCTTCAACGACCTCAACGACCCTGGAACTTTCAACTTCAACGACTCCTGAACCTTCAACGACCTCAACGACTTCCGAACCTTCAACGACCTCAACGGCTCCGGAACCTTCAACGACCTCAACGACTCCGGAACCTTCAACGACCTCAACAACTCCGGAACTTTCAACCTCAACGACTCCGGAACCTTCAACGACTTCGGAACCTTCAACGACCTCAACGACCCTGGAACTTTCAGCCTCAACGACTCCTGAACCTTCAACGACCTCAACGACTTCGGAACCTTCAACGACCTCAACGACTCCTGAACCTTCAACGACCTCAACGACTTCGGAACCTTCAACGACTTCAACGACTCTGGAGCCTTCAACGACCTCAACGACTCCGGAATCTTCAACGACTTCAACGACCTCGGAACCTTCAACGACCTCAACGACTCCTGAACCTACAACGACCTCGGAACCTTTAACGACCTCAACGACTTCGGAACCTTCAACGACCTCAACGACCTCGGAACCTTCAACGACCTCAACGACCTCGGAACCTTCAACGACCTCAACGACTTCAGAACCTTCAACGACCTCAACGACCTCGGAACCTTCAACGACCTCAACGACTTCAGAACCTTCAACGACCTCAACGACCTCGGAACCTTCAACGACCTCGCAACCTTCAACGACCTCAACGACTTCGGAACCTTCAACGACCTCAACGACCTCGGAACCTTCAACGACCTCATCGACCTCTGAACCTTCAACGACCTCAACGACTTCAGAACCTTCAACGACCTCAACGACCTCGGAACCTTCAACGACCTCGCAACCTTCAACGACCTCAACGACTTCGGAACCTTCAACGACCTCAACGACTTCGGAACCTTCAACGACCTCAACGACTTCCGAACCTTCAACGACCTCGGAACCTTCAACGACCTCAACAACTCCGGAGCCTTCGACGACCTCAACCCCTGGAATAGTGACCAAACACACCATGTACTCTTGGGCGGATGCGAATGACACCTGTGTAAGACTCGGAGGAAAGCTCTACACGCCCAAGAGTGGTGATGAAGCGATGAACCTCTCTATCGAACACGGAAGCATCTGGACGGGTAAGGAGTTTAGATAATGATAACCTTCTTCTACAACGTTTCCCTTATATAGGGGTTGTCACTTTCCACATACTGCTTTTCTCCACTTCTTTCATCTTGTGCCCACTGCTCTTCGATGTTCCTTTTCTTCATGTCGGTCATCACACAATTCAGCCACCTCTTTCTTTGTCTTCCTCTGCTCTGCTTTCCGGGGATAAGCAGATCCATCACCTTTCCGTATTCCTTCTTCCTCATGCCTTCTTTTCACATGGCCGAAGCAAGTGAGTCTTGCCTGTACGATCTTGCTACTAATGCTTGTGACTCCTGCTTCAGATACCTCTTCGTTTGTTCTCTGCTCTCCTAGACTGATTCCCAACATCCACATCAGCATTCTCATTTCCGTTCTCTGCAGCAGGCTCTCTTCTTTCTTTCTGAAGGCCCAAATTTCTGCTCCGTACAATAACACAGGTCTTATCACAGTTTTGTACATTTTTGCCTTCAGCTTGGCTGGTAACTTTTTGTGCCACTTGGCACACACTGCCTTCACCCATTTTTTCACAGCTCTCTCACATCCTCCTTGACTTGCCATCGTGCTGCCGAGATACTTGAACTCGTCAACTTGGTCATACTTTGCGCCGCTCTCCTCTTTGATGTTTATCTTTCTTCTTGCTCCTTTGCTGCTTCTCATGACGACAGTCTTCTCCATGTTCAATTTTAGCCCTCGACCCTCGAGTGCCTTCTTCCACTTCCTGAGCTGTGCTTACAAGTTCTTTTCACTCATCGATGAAATGACCAAGTCGTCGGTGAACATTTCCCAGAGCAATCCTCCTCCACACTCCTCGCTCACCACATCGATAAGTATGATGAACAGGAGTGGACTCAGGCTTGATCCTTGGTGGAGCCCTACTTAATGCTTGTGACTCCTGCTTCAGATACCTCTTCGTTTGTTCTCTGCTCTCCTAGACTGATTCCCAACATCCCACATCAGCATTCTCATTCCGTTCTCTGCAGCAGGCTCTCTTCTTTCTTTCTGAAGGCCCCAAATTTCTGCTCCGTACAATAACACAGGTCTTATCACAGTTTTGTACATTTTTGCCTTCAGCTTGGCTGGTAACTTTTTGTGCCACTTGGCACACACTGCCTTCACCCATTTTTTCACAGCTCTCTCACATCCTCCTTGACTTGCCATCGTGCTGCCGAGATACTTGAACTCGTCAACTTGGTCATACTTTGCGCCGCTCTCCTCTTTGATGTTTATCTTTCTTCTTGCTCCTTTGCTGCTTCTCATGACGACAGTCTTCTCCATGTTCAATTTTAGCCCTCGACCCTCGAGTGCCTTCTTCCACTTCCTGAGCTGTGCTTACAAGTTCTTTTCACTCATCGATGAAATGACCAAGTCGTCGGTGAACATTTCCCAGAGCAATCCTCCTCCACACTCCTCGCTCACCACATCGATAAGTATGATGAACAGGAGTGGACTCAGGCTTGATCCTTGGTGGAGGCCGACTTTCACTTCAAATTCTTCGATGTTCCCTGTGGCGTTCTAACCATTGTGGTTACACTTTCATAGGTATCCTTCACGATGTTAATGAGGTACTCTGGAACTCCTTTCTTCTGTAGACACCAGTAGACCAGCTCTCTGGGCACCCTGTCATATGCCTTTTCCAAGTCAACAAATGCATGGTATAGGTTCTTGTAGCCTTCCAGATGTTTCTCTTGGAACTGCCTGAGTATAAATACAGCATCAGTTGTGCCTCTCCTTAGTCTAAAGCCAAACTGCATGTTTCCTATATCCACCACTTCTCGGATCTTCTGGTCCAGGATCTTTTCCTCACCTTTCAAGAGGCGTTCCAAGAGCTTGATACCACGGTGGTTCCCACATTCTAATACATCGCCTTTTTGTTTATACACTGGTACTAGTATAATTGTCCTCCAATCTTCTGGGATGTTCTCTCCATTCCAACTTTTTTTTTAAGATCTCATGGGTCCACATCGCACCTTCACTCCCCAAGGCATCCAACATCTCTACCACCACCTCCGATGTGCCTGCTGACTTGTTATTCTTCCTCTTCATCGACACCTCCTTCAAGCTTACTTGCTGTATCGGACCTTCCACTACTGGTAGTTGTGTTAGCTCTTCCCATTCGTTCTCTACATTCAACAGGTGTTCAAAATATTCTCTCCATCTCCTTAGCACTACTTCCTTCTCTGCCAGAATCTGTCCGTCCTCGCTCTTCACCACAGTCACTTTTCGGATGTCTCTTTGCTGTTGTATGCTGCTTGGCCACTTTATAAATTCTCTTTTCTCCCTCTGGTGTTTCCATCTCTGCGTACCAGTCTCGAACTGCTTCCTCTTTAGCTACTGCCACGGCCCTTTTTGTCTCTCTCTTTGCCACTTTGTACCGGTTCCTTTTCTCCAGGCTCTCCTTGTCATCCTGCCACTCCTTGAAAGTTTTCTTCTTTTCCTTGATCTTCTCCCGCACCTCTTCCGTCCACCACCATGTTTCTCGTTCTCCTGCTCCTCTCCCACTTGTTCTTCCAAACAGCTTTTCTGCCACTTCCACCGTTGCTTCCTTTAAGGCCTTCCACATTTCGGTTGCTGTCTCTCTCTTTGCTCTCTTCAGTCTCTCTCCCACTTGCCTTCTGTATTCTCTTGCACATTCCCGTGGTTTCCACACCTTAATCTTCTGCAGCTTCTTTCCTGTTGTTTCTCCTTTCCTTTTCTTAGAGAACGTCCCATCCATGACCAGCAGTCTGTGCTGTGAGAAATTGCCTTTTAGATAATGATAACCGTCATATATAAATGAATCAATTAAATGCATTTCATTTCCAGATTTTTATTTGGTGAGAACGAGTAGTGGTGATTGTATCAGGGTTTGACTTTATCTGGTGATATAGGAGATACATTTTTAGAAACCGATAGAGGATTTCTGTCTTTTATTCGTCTTTCTTTAAGATTGGTTTAGTTGTTTGAAATTTCCATTGCTGTGTAGGGGAGGTTCTGAAAATAATACGTTAAAGGATAGTAGCAGATGTATGGGCATGTGAATTGCTATATTGCTATATTCGGTTACAAAATCTCTGTTATCTAAATCATATGATATTAGTATCATGTGATGAAGTACACATGAGCGTCCGTCTGCCTGAGAGAGAGAGAGAGGAAAGGAGAGAGAAAAGGGAGTGAGGAAAGGAGGGAGAGATGGAGATAGATAGATAGATAGAAAGAGAGAAAGAGAGGGAGAGAGATTGAAATTTCAACAAATTCTCATTAGTTGAGGAGCGATGGTGGTATAGTGGTGAGCATAGCTGCCTTCCAAGCAGTTGACCCGGGTTCGATTCCCGGCCATCGCAGTGGCGCCATTTTCTATCATTCACTATCAATACTATAGACCTT